CACTTCTCAATGCATTCCTTTGCGTCCAAAAGCTGTTGATGCGACTTATGACTGAAGGCAATGTAAAGTTGGGAATCATCCGCATAGAAATGATAACTCAGCCCATAGCTCCTGATGATGTCAGCTACCGGGGACGTATACAAAACATACAGAACCGGACCAAGCACTGATCCTTGAGGTACTTATTGGCGGGAAAAACGGTAAAACTCCAATCAAATACCGTGTCACAAGACTAAAAATGTAACAACAGAAGCAAAATGTTCTCAAATGTTCCTTAAAATAATTAATAGCTGTTTATTTAGCTATTTTTTGGAGTGTAAAATAGAAAAACGAACGCAGTGCCAAGTTCCACTTCGTTGTAATTCTCGGATTCATAATCTTCTTTGATTTTTAATATTTGTGCTTTACTAATATAACTAGCTTAAATTAGTTCACGCTATTAGGGCATACAACTTTTAACCCTTTTACTAACCAACAAGATTTCATAATTAAAAATCATGTTCCTTTTCAGGCTGTAATCGTACTCTGACTAAAAGTTCAGATGTTTTCCAGTCCCCTGGCTTCCCTGGTAAATACCCGGATGGACAGCTGTGCTCGTGGAGGATCATGGTCCCTGATAATCACACCCTACATGTTCACTTTACGAACTTCTCTTTGTACGAGTACGATRAAGACTGTTTACAGCTATACGAAAATAAAAGCAGGATTTTTAAATCAAAGCAAGCATTCTTTGGCCAAAAGTCACCCTTCACCATCACAGCAACAAGAGATGTGATGTTCGTTTTTAGATCAGACGAAGAAAACAACAGCACTGGATTCAGGGCAAATTATACGATGTTCAAAACGCCTACTACTGCCCCGCCAAAAACAACTGCATATTCAACAACCACCATTAAACCAACAACAGAACACATAACAACACAACCAACGACAACCAAACAACCAACTACTAAACAGCCAACCACTACAGAAGCAACAACATTTCCAACGACAACAAATATTAACTCGACAACCAATGAAACGGTACAATGCAACCCAACAACAGCTAAAAACAAATCTTACAATAAAGACAATATCCATCCATTAAAGAAAACATGGTTTTGTGATGAGACTTGGAGAATAGTTGTCATGATAATACCGCTGGTCGTTTTCATCCTTATTGTTCTCGTCATTATCGACATTTTTTGTCGTTGCAGGTATGAAACAATCATGTTTGACTCAGTTATATATACATTTTTTAAGTCTAGTTACCTGACACTACTATAATAAAAGACGCCAACAAATCGTAAAAAAATGTGGATGCAAATAAAAACATTCCCAATTCGTGAACACTTACCATGAGTAAAGCATCCTCGCATGTCTACATTTAGCTACTCTCTTCCTCCTTCTTCCTCGCCGTTCTCCTTTCCCTATTAGTGTGCTTCTCAAAAGTACGCGCGGAATCGTCGCGACGAATTAGGTTTATGGTGAGCTTCAATAGAATAACACCTTGGGCCGAATGTTTTCCCATTTCAGACCACGTGTCATGCTCTTGAGAATAAGATTCTTTGCTGGAGTTGCATCCATATATTCATTTGTCTTCTCATGCACAACCTTTAAACGAAAAAAAAACATAATACTTTAGGAATCAAATATTATTTGGTCTGAAATGGGGAAAAAAACAAAGAAATGATACTCTAGGGAATGACACTTACGCCCAAGGTAATTATATCTTATTTGGGTTTTTTCCCGTAATACGGGCTGATATTTTACGA